TTCCTGAAGCTTCAATCTTAAAGATGCATTGCCTGTATTTTCTGCTTTCTCGGGCATGTCTTTCAGAGCAACTTTGGGTGCATATTTCCCCCTTCTCTCTATAGAAGCATCCTCCTTTACCTGCTTGGATTTTTCAAACTGCAAAGTCCTTGTCTGGGTTAAGAAAGACCTTAAGGAACACTCTGCTGGTCCTACCTCTACTCTGTGTGATGTGTTGCACATCTCAACTACACCCTGTGCAGTTGAAGTTTTCTGTACTTGAGTATCTGCCTCTGAGGTTGGTTCATGGTGGAGGGCTTTAGTGGATATCCAAGGAGATGTCTGCTTCTCTGTGGGCTCTCTTTGATTTCTGATAGTAGGAGTGCTCACTATTTCCTTCTTGTTTCTGTCATTTGTGAAATTCCCCTTGCTTGAAGTTTTCTGAGGCATTGTTGTCCCATTGTAAACACATATCTCTTTGCTAGAAGTTTTCACTGCTGCCAAGTGAGTCTGATCTTCAGCTTGCTGTACTTTCTGAGTTCTGCATTTTGAAACTGAATCTATTACAATTCCAATGGACATCTTTCTAGATTGACTGGATTGGTGGTAATTGCTGCCAAAACTCCAAGTGTCACTGGCAAGGTCCTGATAAGAACAAAATAATAGTGTTTCAACATCTAGCTTTCTAAGCATACGAACATGACATCAGATCCACACAGAGCGAGGGGTCGACCTTTCTGGTCCTAAGAAATTTTGAAAATTAAACTCCACATCGAGCTGACAAACTAAGAAATTTAAACTAATCGGAAAAGTCAAAAGACAACAGGGACGGAACAATATGCATATACGAAATCTGCAAATTGCTTCAAGTAAATAATTAACCCAGATTCAAATTGCAAGCTGACTACTTACATCTCGTAATTTTGACTTCCTGTTGACGTCCATAGCTGCAAATTCAGCTGATCCAAAGTAAGCGTGTTACCTGAGTTCTGAAAATGAAAGCAGAAAGAATGATTAATTAAGCTTACCCATCAAATTCCACCGTTATAGTTTTACATGTACTGCTAATTGCCTTCACAAACACACGCCATACTCACATAGAATGGAATTAAGCTTCATAGACTAAGACTCTAGGTCTCTCTTTCACAAACACACACATGTGGAACAGAGAATAACAGAGAACTTCTAATACTAAATAGTTATCGGTATCTACAGCATAACCACATATAAAACGTTCAGATTCAAAACCCATCCAAAAATCCAAATCACTCGAGAACAATTTCTGTACTACGTACTTCCCCATTCATAAACAAAACGCCAAATCAAAGCTTCGTTAAGAAAAGAAAAACTAAATCTATCAGCGAACGATCAAACATCGGGTGAATCTAGAATCTCCAACAGCTACAATTTACAGAAACTTCAGCGGGAACGAATATATGAGGATTAACTTTACATGCATTGTCGATCATGGAGATATTGTGAATTACTTACTACAAATGAGCAGAGACGAGATTCACCATGCGCCTCCGTTCGTTTCTGAGCTGTGAGAAGAAGAACTCGAGTCGATACTACAAAGGATTTTGGGGTCCTTTTTGAAATTTTAGGAAATGGGTAGAGTGCGTACGGGTGATTTTGCGTGATCAGACTGAGAAAGAGGCGGGAAAAGACGAAACAATGGAGCGTGTACGTCGCTTTCACTCTTTTATATACAACTGCGTTTTACACCTTTGTTTGGATGGGTTATTTCATATTTTGATTCATAATGTGTGTGTATACATAACTTTGTACCCTATTATTTTACCACTTGGATATTGTATTGTATTATGTTATATTATAGATATTATTTTTCACCATAACATAATATCACACATTCAGACAATATGAATGATACATCACAAAAGAGAAATAATAGGTTATGTGTAGAGTGATATAAAATAGTAATGTAAAGAAACATTTAAAATTACTAGATATGCAATAATATAAAATGAAATTTTTTGTCATTTAATAATAATGAATTTAACAATATATTTTTTGGATAAAAACTTGGTTTGCGTGTGTTTTAAACTCGTTTCTTTTAAAATAACACAAAATCTAAACTCAAAACCTATTAAAAGTTATAAAAATTAGTAAAATTTAGAATCATTAAGCGATGTAATCATCATAATGATCATAAGCATTAGTAGACATGTGTTCTAATCAAGTATAAATTTTTTATCTCTCAAGAAAATATTCAATTATTTGTTTTATTCGATACAAATTGTATAATTTTTCTCAAACTTGTAGTTTTCTTGTGTACATCTAAATGTTATGTGTAGTTCTTTTATTTAGTTACTCCTTTTTAATGTTTAAAGAATTGATATTGTATACAAACTTAAGATGAAAATGAAAGATGCTAAGACAAGCTTGCCATAAATTTATTCATCTGTGCTTGACGAAGATGATGATGTGTTGTGTTATATACGTCATAAGTTTTATGATATTTTTTCAAGAGTTTATTTTTTGAAAAAGTGTATATATTAGCAAATTATTAATTTAAATTGAATGTTATAAAACATAGTTTGGTTTTATTGTATTCCATAGTAAATTGTTGCTATTTTTGCCTCTTTTCAGCTGTAATCTTGCTCGCCATTCTCGTTATTGTTGGCAGTCGCGCTCGACTCTCTATCATTTATACAAATACAAAAGTATAAAATGTGTTTATGTTTGTATAAAGCGAGAGAAAATTGTACATATACATATATTTTCGTTCCTCTCTCTACCTTCTTCCAGTCTCGCTCTCCACTCTCACTCGTCTCTCTCACTTTATATAAATACAAATGTATACATCGTGTTTGTATTTGTATAAAGCAAGAGATTTGTATATATAAGTACAAATGCATAGATTTTCGTCCTATACACATATGTTTATACAAATACGTTATTCCTTTGCCAAGTTTTCTTTTGTCTTTCTCTAAATCTCGCTATACAAATACAAATTATACAATTGATTCTTTTGCAGTACGTATACCGAAACAGATTATACAATTGATTCTTTTGCATATGTATATAGTGAATTAGTCAGCTTCTTTTGTATATATGTATAGTGAAATACCCGTGGCATAAAGTTTGTTATAGAACGCAATTATACAAACCATAACAATAATATACAAATATGATTTTTGTACTTGCTATATGTGAAAGTTGCTCATGTATAAAATATGTTTGTGTTTGTATAAAGCGGAAGAAAATTGTATTTATATACATATATTTTCATTTTCCTCTCTCCCCTCTTTCAGATGTCGCTCGACACTCTCCTAGATCGTGCTCGCCTCTCTCGCTTATACAAACAAAAACGAAATGTATAAATTGTGTGTTCTATTTATATAAATCGAGAGAAATTGTATATACACATGCAAATACATATATATTCGTCATATACACTTATAATTATACAATACAAATATTCCTTTGCCAAATTTTCTTGTCTTTCTCTCTTTCTCATTTTATACATACACAAATTATACAATTGATCTGTTGTATACAACTACTTTCCTTTGTATATGTATAACGAATTATACAATTCGTTTCTTTGTATATGTATAGCGAATTATACAATTGTTTTTTTTGTACATGCATAGCGAAATATATATATATTTATGTTTGTTATGGAGCATAATTATGCAAAGTATAACCATAACATACAAGTATGATTTTTATATTTACTATATCTGAAAGTTACTCTTTTAAAATTAATTTTTTTTTTATATATTTTTAGAAATGTGGACTGAGGCCCACAGCCCACATACAGGTGAATTGGGCTGGCTAATTTCTGGCCCACCAAAAAAGTGAGTCAGTAGGCCTCGTCCATCAAATTCCAAAGTCCATCTTATAACTGTAGTTTTGAGGTAAGTATATAAAAAAAACTTTGATATAAATTATTAATTTCGTTTTTAAATTATTGTCAATTTTAAAAAAACACTTCTATTTGCCTAACTAAACTTAGATATATCTCTGATCTGTCACATGACGTAATAACTAATATCCAACTCTTATAGCACGAGCCTAAATAAAAAGTCGAGAGAAGTGTTGAAAATACCTCCAAACTTGACGAGAATTTAGAGATAAGGTATGTTTACTCATGTTACAAATCAGAGATATATGTTAAGTTGAATTAGTCTTTAAAAACTGTTAAAAATTTAATTGAAACTAATAATTCACTTTAAATTTAAAAATATTTTCAATACTTTTTCCTGTATTTTGATTAAAAAGAATTATTCATTCACACTCATCGTTGTTGTCTCTACTTGTCTCCAAATCGTTTGTAGTCAATTCAATTTTTTTCACTAATCATTAGTTTATTTAGCGTTAAAGCTTGACTTATCAATTTCATAAAGTTCTTATTTTGACCGCTTGCCACCTTATTGCTTCCACCAACTTCACCTAAAAATGAACTTCTGAAACAAATTTCACGAATATTGTCGATGATGAGTGGATTGGTCCATGACAATAGATTATGCAAGTTTTTAGTTAATTAGAGCTTTTGGTGCTTTCATATACAAACATTACTTGCTTCAATAATATCAATATAATTTTATAAATATCATTTAAGAAAAATAAAATATGTATAAATTCTATTTTCATTTCATAAAGATCGATAAACTTCTCTTAAAACGAAATTTACTTCCTTTAATTTGTTAAAAAAGAATTGATCATTTCTTTTTTTTTAAACGATACTTTTGATTTTAATTTTTTTAATTTCATTTTTAATACAATAATGATTAAATGACACTTTGATACATTTCATATAATTTTAATTTATATTAAAACATTTTTTAAAGCTCAATATCAAATTAATCAAACCATTTTTTTTAAAAAAAACAAACTTTTCAAAGGGAATAACTTATCTTGTAGCATCACCCCTTATCTCATCAACATTAATTCCTAGCCGAAAGATGTGAACTCATAAAGAAAACCGACGGCTGAGATTGTGCGGGTCTACAAATCCCATTTTCTTTCATCAACTGAAACGATAACGCTAAAGCAAACGGTGATATTTTCTCAGAGGAGCTGAGAGTGCAGTCATGACAACAACGGCCGTCGTCAACCATCCTAGCATTTTCACTCACCGGTCGCCGCTGCCGTCGCCGTCCTCCTCCTCATCCTCATCGCCGTCATTTTTATTTTTAAATCGTACGAATTTTATTCCATACTTTTCCACCTCCAAGCGCAGTAGTGTCAATTGCAATGGCTGGAGAACACGGTGTTCCGTTGCGAAGAATTATACAGTTCCTCCCTCAGAAGTTGACGGTAATCAGTTACCGGAGCTGGATTGTGTGGTAGTCGGAGCAGGAATTAGTGGTCTCTGCATTGCTAAGGTGATATCGGCTAATTATCCCAATTTGATGGTGACGGAGGCGAGGGATCGTGCCGGTGGAAACATAACGACGGTGGAAAGAGATGGATACTTATGGGAAGAAGGTCCTAACAGTTTCCAGCCTTCGGATCCTATGTTGACTATGGCTGTAGATTGTGGATTGAAGGATGATTTGGTGTTGGGAGATCCTGATGCGCCTCGCTTTGTCTTGTGGAAGGATAAACTAAGGCCTGTTCCCGGCAAGCTCACTGATCTTCCCTTCTTTGATTTGATGAGTATTCCTGGCAAGCTCAGAGCTGGTTTTGGTGCCATTGGCCTTCGCCCTTCACCTCCAGTTTGTACTCATACTCTTTCCCTTATCTCTCTGCAACATTGATGCATTTATTTATTTTGATTGATTCTTCTCACACGAATAAAGAAAAATAAATGCAAATAAAAGAGAGATTGTACATTAAACATTTTGATAATTTGTGCCTTCCACTCACTCCGCATGGTTTGGCAAAAGTGACAGGGTTATGAGGAATCAGTTGAGCAGTTCGTGCGTCGTAATCTTGGTGCTGAAGTCTTTGAACGTTTGATTGAACCATTTTGTTCTGGTACCTCTCAATTCTTCCCTATCTGCAGAAACTATTGCGGGCATTTGTTCACTTTGTTAAATACTGTTTGTTGTAGATATCCGTATTTTTCAAAGAACTGTGTCAGTATGAATTTTGAATGAATTTTATGTGATACTCACTCATCATTTTATAGGTGTTTATGCTGGCGACCCATCAAAATTGAGTATGAAAGCAGCATTTGGGAAAGTGTGGAAGCTAGAACAAACTGGTGGTAGCATTATTGGGGGAACCTTTAAGGCAATAAAGGAGAGATCCAGTAACCCTAAACCGCCTCGTGATCCGTAATAATGGACTTGATTCAAAGTCTTTGTGCTTTTTCTTTCCAGGCTTTGTGTTTCTTTCTCTTAAGAATCTGTCTCCAGAGCGAGTATCTGACTTGAGTAATCATTCTACAGGCGTTTACCAACACCAAAAGGACAAACTGTTGGTTCATTTAGGAAGGGTCTGAGAATGCTGCCAGATGCAATTTGTGAAAGGTGCTCTTCTGCTCTCCCAGCTCAATGCTTCCAATCCCAGGATAATAGACTTTTTGGGAAAAAGGGAAGAGAAAAGAATATCAAAAGTTGACTAGTTAAAGCTCAATGTTGGCGTTTTTGGTGCCTTAAGTGTGTTCTTTGGTGCTCTTGTAGTATTCTTAACTTGGAAATGCTTATAAGTTCTCTCTGTGTTTCCTTAGACTGGGAAGCAAAGTGAAACTATCATGGAAGCTTTCTAGCATTACAAAGTCAGATAAAGGAGGATATCTCTTGACATACGAGACACCAGAAGGAGTAGTTTCTCTGCGAAGTCGAAGCATTGTCATGACTGTTCCATCCTATGTAGCAAGCAACATATTACGCCCTCTTTCGGTGTGTTGCCCTTACTGATTGCTCCAAAGTCATTATTGTTATTGTTCATTTGGCATTCTAATATATAAGCTTGTCTAAAAAGATGGAAATGTTTGAGCAAAGTTTAGTCTTTTTTTTTTGGACTAGGGAAAGGGGCTCGAACACATCCATATAACAGCCACATACTATCTGTATACTGTATAATGTGATCAGCAAGAAGAGAAATTAAAAAAGAATTTTTTTTGTCATGCTGAGAATTAACATGCACTTGCTTAATGAGATCAAGAGTGCACCGTACCCCATCCCCTCATCAAAGTTGGAACTGTGTCTTTCTATCTCTCATGTTATTTTGATTTTTAATATAAAATTTTATTAGCAATTTTCTTAAATGCTTTGACCTTGGATTTTCCAAAGGTTACTAGTTCTGAATTCTGATAACTGTTTTGCAAGAAAATATGGCTCACTTAAAATGAGTAGTGTTGTGGTTGAGCTTCTTCTGTTTCTTGCTGAAGCAAAATGTCTTTTAATCTTTTGTTAAACTCAGGTCGCCGCAGCAGATGCACTTTCAAGTTTCTACTATCCCCCAGTTGCAGCAGTGACAATTTCATATCCTCAAGAGGCTATTCGTGATGAGCGTCTGGTTGATGGTGAACTAAAGGGATTTGGGCAGTTGCATCCACGTTCACAGGGAGTGGAAACACTAGGTAGCTTTCTGTTTAAAAGATCCACTCTTTTTTTTGATATCAAACTATCCATATCAGATGTATGACTTTTATTATGAAATTGCAAGATGCTAATCATTGGATGACCCTCATTACCCTAAATTTTGACATTAACCTTGCAGAGTGATTTACAATAATTACAAGATCTGTTTCATCTTAAGTATTATAATTGTGTCTCATTTGCAGGAACAATATATAGTTCATCACTCTTCCCTAACCGTGCTCCAAATGGCCGGGTGCTACTCTTGAACTACATTGGAGGAGCAACAAATACTGAAATTGTGTCTAAGGTAAGGCACTTAAATTGAATACAACTCCAAGTGCCAGCAGTATTGATTTATTATAATGAATGTTCATGGCCTGGCCAGTGAAGGCATCACCTGAAAGTCCTGTAGTAACAAACATAAACCTCAGTTTGATCGTTGCCCTAGATGCTTTCTGGTTGTGTATTATCCTTTTAGATAAGTTTTCGGTGTTACTCTCTTAAGATTAATGACCACGCCAATTTGGATTACAGAACTGTTTCTGCTTATATAACTAAGTGATAGAAGGTGATTGATGATAATTATAGATTTTATGGAAGTAGTAGTTAACTATAACTGTAAAGTTGGATCTTTCTAGTAACCAACATTAATAGTATTTAATGACGCTGATTTAACGGAAACTGGATTAAGTCATGTAAGCTTATTCCAAATAAACAAGCTCTAATTAGGAGAACTGGCTCTTATTGCACTTAAATCTGCAGTCATGACATAATCAGTGATATATGATACCATTCTGGATGAGGCATCCTGCATTAATTTAGCCAGTGCCTTTGTTTACAATTATTTACCGAAAGAAGAAAACTTTCACATGCCCTACATGTTTTGAAGATTTAAAGCATAATAGGATCACTAATGTTTTCTTTTTGAGAAGTACATTTTGTTTAACAACCTAGCATGTTTGCCCTAGTATGCTCTTTGTTGAAGGATTCCCTATCAACTTGAGTGATTGAGCTCCTTCAGTAATTGAATTATTGTCCATCAAATGCTGGAAAAGTGGGATTATACTAAGACATGCCTTCCCCTTGTATAGCCCTAGAACTGTTGTCATACCAGTGATTTTTAAAAAATTTCTGTGCTGGTATCATGATATCCTCCACTTGCTATTGCTTTTCAAACTCTCTTACTGCTGTTATACTACTTCATTAACAAACTGCAAGTCTGCATCTTTTCTTTATTTTTTGATAAGGCTAAACTACAACCTTCTGTTAAAGTTAAAGTAACTAAGATGGAGGATTGGAGGTTAATAAGAATGTACAGAAGTCACTGGACTTATCTCATTAATGCAATTATCTCATTAATGCAATTATCTGTAAGTTCCAGTATTGTCTATATCATTTACAATATTCATTATAAACACAAAATATAGTTGAGGGCATCTAATCCCCATATAATCTATGTTCAGTTTTTCTGTCAGAACCTCTATATAATTTCTTGCTATCCGAACTGTCTGAGTATACATGATAGTATTGTTCTTCATAATTTTCTTTGCTCCTTTAGTTCCTGGCATCAGCCACTAAAGCCCTGTACCCCATACATATAAACATGCAGCACCCTGTACCCCATACATATTCAGAATGCATTGTAACTATGATACATGTCTGCAATGTAAAAGTATGTGCTTTACTGGTTCAGTAGAGCCATCTAATAAGTATCACCTGCACCCTACCTTTTGTAAATTATATTGTGGTAAGCATTTCTCATGTGATGTGGTCCATTGTCTTGAGTCAAGATTCAAATGTGTGTGAGTTACTGACTAGTGTTTCGTGGAAAATTTAATAGAAGAATAGAATGTCAAGGTTAGGTGGCATTGGTATTACAGACTGCAAGTAAAGGAGGTACAACAAGGACAAAGTATAAGATTATGTGAAGTTGGTGTAATGATGCTTGTGAAAAAATCATTCCATCTATGGTGATGTATTATTGCTCAGAAATTGCAACCAGATATAATCCTTTTGTTGAAGTCTTTCACTTATTTGTGTCTCCAGAAAAAAATCTATCATTTATTTATCTGCTTGCCTATTTTCTTCGTGTTTGATACATCCTTCTTTGTTTGTTGCATTTCTTTATGAGATGCATAGCATCCATGAGTTGATAGTTTATGGTGATTATTGATTGAACCATGTTCCTGTAAATCTGTGTTTCATTCAGTTGAGTGGTTCTTTGGGTTGAGACAATCTTCTTAACTCTTTATATTCTGTCTTACTTTTCTGATGTACACTTGATTTCGATGAATGCTGTGTTTTGTGCTTTTTCCATTGTATTTTTATGAAATATTTGGCGGTTATTCTTTATGCTTCAGGGCCTTGAATAAATTGTTTCTAGCTCTTATACCTCATTCCTCTTGCAGACAGAGAGCCAACTTGTGGAAGCAGTTGACCGTGACCTCAGAAAGATGCTTATAAAACCCAAAGCACAAGATCCCTTTGTTACGGGTGTGCGAGTATGGCCACAAGCTATCCCACAGTTTTTGGTCGGACATCTGGATACACTAGGTACTGCTAAAGCTGCTCTAAGTGATAATGGGCTTGACGGGCTATTCCTTGGGGGTAATTATGTGTCTGGTGTAGCATTGGGAAGGTGTGTTGAAGGTGCTTATGAAATTGCATCTGAAGTAACTGGGTTTCTGTCTCAGTATGCATACAAATGAAACCTCCTCTTGGGGAGGTACTGTTAGGTTTCAAAAGTTTTGCTTATTAGAGTTATTTTAGCTTTGGTAAATGATTTATGCTTGATTTCAGTCGTTTTTGTTGTAATCTTGGTTCTCATTTCTTTGGGACAAAATGTTCTTGTCAAGGAACAATACGTTTAGAGTTCGAGTATCTGTTAATTGTAAGAAAATCTAACATATTGGGCATAATTAGCTGCCTGCTTTGCCAGTAGATATATTATATGGCTTGGTTAAATATGTTTGGTCTTGGAATTTGATTTCTTTGGGAAATTATTCATCCCAAGACCAAATGTCAAAGATTATACCATACTCAAGGATAGGGACTCGTAAATCCTTCCACAAACACCCATTTCGCAACATACTTTCAATCTTGACGTTCTAAACTAACATCTTTACACCAAATCCTATATCGAGAGTTCTACTCGTTTGAATTCAATTTTGAAAGGTCCTATGGATTTCTTATTGTCTTAAGAAATCTTAGGTACTAAGAAACTCAGTCCATGCTTAGACATTATCATCCCAACCATTCCTAGATTGCTCTAGACCCCTTTACTCAAATTCCGTTCGAGACTGGCTGACTTAGAATTTTCAAGTTTCTATCCATATTTTCGTTCGAGACTGGCTGACTTAGAATTTTCAAGTTTCTATCCATATTTTTTTTTTGTCCCACTTCATATTAGATTTGGAAAGTTGGAATATGGATTTCTTATTGTCTTAAGAAATCTTAGGTATTAAGAAACGCAGTCCATGCTTAGACATTATCACCCCAACCATTCCTGGATTGCTCTATGATGGAATATGTGCGTCCACTACCAGTCAATGGACCAGGTCCCTTGACACAGCAAAAACAGTGCAGAAGATTAAACAATATGAAGAACACAACACAAACAGTTTACGTGGAAACCTCCTTGCTCAAGGGAGTAAAATCACGACCTGTTACACAGGATTTACAATCGTCTTCACTAATCTTCTCAAGCAAAAGTGAAACCCGGTTACAATCAATGTGAGAAAAAGTTATTAATCTCACGATCAAGTAATCTACCTATTACTTGAAGAGCCTAAGCGGATACCACACCGCCCACTAAACCACCTAACTCTAGATGACTTAGAATTTGACTAAGCAACAAAACAATGTTGCCCACTAAATCAGTTAACCTTAACTGATTTAGACTTTTACAAACCCAAAACAAATATCTGAATCCTTTATAGATTAGGAACAAATTTACAAAGTAAGTACATAGACACAAAGCTCTAAATACAACAAAGATTCTTCTTTACTCTATCAGGTCATTCTGTTGAGTTGAGCAATGTTCTTTCTTGAAGATGGCCTTATGTTCAAGCTTGTGATTTTCAGAGAAAATCCAAGTTTAATTTGCCAAGTCTTGAATTTGTGCTTGTTGGAAAGAGATAATATAATTTCCCACAAATTCGTTGAAGTCATCCCATTGGCTGAAGGCCTGCTGTTGGAAAAGCTGTGCACCTACCGCATCAGAGATGACAGCTTTTCTGACAGCTGTCTTGTGTCCTTTTCACGTCGCTGTCTTGCAGGTACCAGGTCCCTCACAAATGGGGGAACCAGGTCCCTTGCAAACTTCTGTATGAGTTCTTGAAAAGGCTTGCTGGCTGACTTTCTTCTTTGGATGAATGAATATAATATGGTGTTTGTCATGCAAAAAGTATCAAACATAAAGAGTTATTATCCTTTGGACAAACACCCTCCTCCATTCTGATTGGTGTAGTACACTGACGCCTTACCAACCTCTGACGTGACAGCTTTACAGTTGTAACCAATTATGTATCTGATGGAGGAAATTCTGCCTGGTACCAGGTCCCTGCATTTGTGAGATACTGAAACATACAATCTCGTCCGCTCTTCTTATTGGTGTAGGATACTGCACTCTTCACTTACCACCTGACATGACAGCTTTTATGACTGTACCCATTTGTATATGGACGAGAGCACTCTGCCAGGAACCAGGTCCCCGCATTTGTGAGGATCATCAAAACACCTAGAATATAACACTCTCTTCACTCAGATTTCGTTTGAGACTGTTTGACTTAGAATTTTCAAGTTTCTATCCAATTTTTTTTGTGCCTCTTCATATTAGATTTGGAAAGTTGAAATTTTGAACGTTACTACATGCTAACTTGCAATCAATCAATTAATTAATGCGAAAAATTCTAATATTTCATTATTTCTAAATATAATATACTCCACAAAATATATTTTTTCACTCATAAATTTATTTGGTAGGATTTTAATAGTTAATCAATTTCTCTTTATAGAATTTTAAAACCTACCAATTATTAACATAACTATACTTTTTTATTTTAAGAAATCTAATAATAATATTTTTTAAGTCAATCAAAAATCATTAACACACCATGACCCATGACATATCGGACGGTCAACCGCATAAAATGGTAAGTTGGATTGGGTTAAAAAGCGGCCCAAAAAGAAGCAAAAGAAGGGCATCTCGTTTCAAAATTTGAAATACAGCACAGAACAATGTGTACCGTTGGAAACACTCAAAATCTCTCATAGAGAGAACTCTCACTGAAACGAAGACGAACTCAACAAACATGAGACGCCATGGATGGCAACGTCCTCTTCACACATTGCAGGTTCGTCATTTCAGCCGATTCCGAGCTACTTTTTTTTTGATTTTTTTTCTGAATTTACTTGTTTTGAACTGGTGTTTAACTGCAGATTGTGGGCATATCGGTGTTCTGTTTCCTCTTGGTGTTTTTTTACACCTTCATCGGTCTTCTCCTCGGTAACAGAGTTGTTGAGATCACTGTCACCTCGATTTTCTCCTTTGTGGTAATTTTAACTTTCACTAGTGAAATTGTAGCTCAGTATAATCGATTAACTGTATCAAGGCAGGCAATTGAATTTTGGACGTGTGATTTGCTTTAATGCAGGCACTTTCTGCTGCATTTCTGTTTATAAGGTGTGCGGCTATCGATCCAACTGATAAGACGAGGTTCAGGATGAGGAGGAAAAGCACTCGCACTGCGTTTTCAAATCTTAATTATGGATTTGTATTGGGACAGATTGTTGTGAGATTTCTAAGGAGAATCGAGCGCAGAGTGCTTAAGACATTTATAAGGAGAAAGTACCTGGATCCTTTAAAAAGTAATCTTCATTTGGAGCCTTTGCTCACATTTCCACTACTCGTCAAAGATGATTTGGTTGCCCAACAGACAAAAGATGATGACATTTCATTTTGTTCGCTTTGTGATTTTGAGGTTTGCAGCTGCATTTCTCGTTATATTTTGCTGATTAAATTTGTTGAACTTACTAGGTATATGCATTTTCTTTCACTGTCTGCTTGCATACACCAAGGCGAAGCCAGGAATTTATACAAGGGGATTCAACTAGAAAGTGATAGCTGGGATTTGAAATTGTGACCTAAATAAGTTTTAAACCTCTTTTTCCACTCACTAAATCTTCCCTTGTGTCAAGGAACAAATCTACTTCCTTATACCAAGGATATTGAACAGTTTATGCAAAACCAAATATAAATAAATCATTCTTGCCAAAATTATGAGCAACTAGCTCCACATCCGGCACACACAATGAGAATGTGGTGAAGCGAGATTATGCAGATTCTAACAGTTGACAACTATATGAAATTACAAAAATAACATACCCAGTGCAATTCCATGAAGTGGGGTTTAAGGAGGGTAGAATGTATGCAGACCTTACCACTACCACAAACATATGAGCTAAAAAACAAAAAAGGAAACAACTACATGAAATTATTATGCAGATATTAATAGTTGATAGCTGTATGAAATTGTCTTACTTGATCCTTTTTGCAGGTTAAAAAGCGTAGCAAACACTGTCGGACCTGCAATCGATGTGTGGAGGGATTTGATCACCACTGCAGAGTAAGGAGATAGGGTCTCATTCTCTGCTGCATTGTACATTAAGGTACACCTAAACTCAAACTGACAGGATCTTTGTTTTTGAGTTGTTGCAGTGGTTAAACAATTGTGTCGGGAAGAAGAACTATACCAGCTTCATTTTTCTAATGATATTCCTCTTGATAATGGTTACTCCACCTTCTCTCTCACTGTATTTCTCTTTTTTGGATATCCCTATTGAGTTTGCATCTTAAGCAGCTAACAAATTTCTCGATGAAACAGCTGCTTATTGAAGGAGGCACAGCTGCTGCAATATTTGTAAGGTGCTTTGCCAACAAAAGGAGCATTGAACTAGAGATTCAGAGAAGATTCAGTGCCAAGTTCCCTAGAGGAGTTCTGGCAACAATTTGTGTATGATTCTTTGCTTGCTTTCTCCATTATATCTCCCTCAGTTTTATCAGGTGTTCATCTTTCAATGTACAGTTTCATCAGTCGTTCATCTTTCAATGTATATTTTTGCAGGTAATCTTATTTTTCATGACATCGTATTGTGTAGCAGCGCTGGGACAGCTTTTCTTATTTCATATAGTTCTCATCCGGAAGGTATGACTGTCCCCCTTTTTCCCAATGATCTGGTGCAACCATAAAAAGCATAACAAATCTTTTGGATTTGATTTTGTGGATAGAAAGCAGGAATAGCATCACAAACAAAAAGTTCTGGTTTTTGCTTAACAGTAAGCGCAAAGGACACCTTGTAACTATGTACAAAATATTTCATTGAGAGTTTTATGTGAAATTCACACATGTTCCTTTCAACTAATGTAAGATAAGTAGGCTTACTATGAATGTAATAACTGATAAGTAAAAGCAAGCTTATATATGTATGGGAAATAGGAAAACAAGAAAAATGAACCAGTTGATTGCAATATACTCCTGAAACATAAGTGGATATAGGAAGTTGTGTCGTTGCAAGTATTAGTGTATGAAACTTTAGGATAGAACCAGGGCTGCAATTGCTACAAGAACACCTTAAAGTACTATGTATGTTGGCGTAAAAATCCTAAAGCAGCTCATCTTGGAGCTAATATTGCTAGTTGCTATTATGTTAGGAATCCTAAATTAAGGTTCATTATCTGCTTATCTTCATAGTTAGAGCTGCTGTAACCAGTTTGTGCTGAGAAAAAACACATTTGGAGGCTTGTAGATTATTGAGAACATAAGAAACTCGACACACGAGTTTGCTCAACTTCTCAGTTAAGTTTCTTGGTTTCACAGCTTAAGATAATCTATGGTTCTCTTGGCAGGGAATGAGAACTTATGATTATATCTTGGCAATGAGAGAGGAGAACCAATCTATGGAGCTT